TTTTTTTTTTTTTTAATAATTTTTTTTTTTAATTTTTTTTTTTCAACATTTATTTTTGGGACAGAGAGAGGCAGAGCATGAACGGGGGAAGGGCAGAGAGAGAGGGAGACACAGAATCGGAAACAGGCTCCAGGCTCCAAGCCATCAGCCCAAAGCCTGACGTGGGGCTCAAATTCATGGACCGCGAGACTGCGAGATCGTGACCTGGCTGAAGTCGGACGCTTAACCGACTGCGCCACCCAGGCGCCCCTAGCACTTTCTGTTTTAAGCAAGCTTCTAGGTGATTCTCATCCACGTGAATTTTGAGAACCCTTGAGCCAAGAGCATCTTTGTCCCAATTTGTTTTGTTAACACATTTCTCAGCTATAACTGCATTTAGAAAAGCTACAACAAAATGGTAGAACCATAATTCTCAAGGATAGAAGGAATTCATCAGAATCATCTGAAGATGATCTTTCAACTTATAGGATCAGGGCTATCCCAGCACCCACTCTTTCCCCATTTGACATTCTACTTTCATCTGAATCTAAGAAAGTGGTAGCAGACAGGGGTGTTATGTTAGAAAAGCCATACAGATGCTTCTGGTGCTCATGAGAACTTCAGCTATAATGTGGCATGATTGATAGGCAGATGTTTGACGTTCATGGAAAAGAAACTTCAAAGAACTTTTTATAGCAGTATTTTGATAGAAGCATATTCATCTATCATTCTATGTCACACATTTTTTTAAATCAAAAGGAAAAAGCTTGTTGACCAACACTGTAATTGTAAAACAAGTGGTTTTTATAAGTTTGACATTATAGATTCTTTCATTTAAACTACCAAACATTTATTTCTGTTGAAATACAGCTGCTTGCCTTAAAATTTTGAGTAAGAGTTCTAGAAATGTAGAATGTAATTTAGATTATGTTTTACAAATCATTAAGATATAAGTGTATAGACTGCGCTTGATATGCTACTACACATTTGTAAAAAAAAATGTGATCGGTATAAAATATGCCATAGGAAAATTGGAACAAACCAAAGTTTAGGCATCATAAAAGATAATATCTGTGTGCTTCTGATTATCCATATGACCTTGGACAAATTATTTTACTTCTCTACTTCATTTTCTCAACTTGGCCTTACAACAGTGATTTAATTTATATGCAAACTACCAAGTAAACAATAACTTCATAATTGCTGATTATAATCATACTTTTGGTGTAAACAGAAGAAATGCTTTTTATTTATTTCATTTTATAAATTAAAAAGTATTATGGGGGAATCTAAGATGGCAACATAATAGGAAGATGCTATAGACTCATCGTGTCCCTTGAACACAACTAGATAACTGTCAAATCATTCTGTATACCCAAGAAATCAACCTGAAGACTGACAGAACAAACTCTACAACTAGACAGAGAGGCCACATGGAGAAAGAAGGTAGGAGGTGCAGAGACATGGGTTAGAAGAGAAACGAATCACTGTGGAGGTGCTGTGGAGAGGAGGGAGCCCTGGTCATGGAGAAAGGCAAGAGAGAGCATAGCACACAGGGGTAAGCACGAGGAAAACATTTTCTCAAAGTTATTGCCTAGGAAAACAGAGGGGCTGATTTTCGTGAGTTTTTGCAACCAGCAGGTCTGGAAGACTAGAGTTTTAAAGGTATGTGGGCATGGCTTGTATAGGGCCCTGAAGGTTCTACCCTGCTCCTGGAAAGAAGGCAGGCAAACAACCTGGGAGGCAGCTGGCAGAATCTGAGGAATGCCTAAAACACAGGGAGAGACTGTTCCCTCTTCTTGGAGCATTTCTGTGAAAGGTAGAATTCATGGAGATGCGTCTCTGTCTCGGCCATCCAGGGGCCTCGTTTCCCTTCCCTGCCCCTCAGCATAGCTGCAGAGCCACATGCAGCTGGTCTCTGACACTGGCTGCCTGGCCTGCCTCTTCCGAGTCCCACACCCCTGTGCTCTGGCAGGACTGTCCTTCTTGGTCAAGCCAGCCTCAGTCACAGGGCGGTGGGCCTCTCCCTCAGAACACCAGTGCAGGTCCCCATCACACCATGTTCCTAAAGCCTGGAGTTTTAAAAGTCAGCAGGCTTGCCTGGGATAGAG